AAACCACTTAGTTTTTTTCCCTTAGGTGCCGGCGAAAGCCGTCTACAGAGAGATTTTTCATTTGCGTCTTCGGCATTGACCCCTTTTCGGGGGACGACGGTTTCCTCTTCCGCGACGCTTTTTAGCTTTATTTTTAGCGGGCCGACGAACTGTTCGCGGAGAACTCGAGTGGTGGTGTTTTCGACGTTTTAAAAGCGAGGAATATGGAGCAATATGTTAGAAATTTTATTATTTTCGACGTAGAGCTTTACTTTAGAGTCTATTACGTAGAAGAACCAGCACTATATTCATATTTTTCTAAATTTATAGTTTCGACAACAAAATTTATCCTTCGATCGGTTCTAAAACAATATGCATCAACGTCATTTTAATCTAGATACGAAGATTGGACGAAAAGTAGGTAATGCAAAAATCAAATTCAACAATTACACTTAAACTTCATATTACGTTGCAGAATCTATAACGATTTCAAAACCCAAAATCCATCAGAATCGCATCGAATTGCTTCTCAAACTTGCCCCAATACTTACGATAAATCTCTAATTCGTGCACTCGATGGATCGAAAAGTCTAAGCCTAAATTCGCCACGGTTAATTCATCGTCGTTAATTCATCGAGCCTTCTCTCTCGTCACGGAGGTGACGAAGATCCGATTTCGTTTCGTTTTCGTATAGGATATTAAGTGAACGGGCGAGAAGTGGAAATCTCGATACACGCACGTGCCAGGATCGATAAATCACGAGGCGTGGGCAACCGTTCGTGCACTTAGCCGCCATCTAATCTATTATTGAGAGTGTCGTTCGGCCGGGTGGCGTTAATGCGAGCCCACCGCCCCGTTTAAACGTCGCCCCGATATTTCGAGCGAGCCCCGACCCCGCGAGAGAATGCTCACCGATGTCCCCTGATTTATTTCTCCCGATGAGATCGAATGGATGCGTGTCGCGTCCGAGACGAGCACTTAACGCGATACCAGTTCCACGTTGCCCCTCTATGGTGTTCGAGAACGGCGGCCTCTTCTTGCGTCTTCGCGTCTTTGGCATTCCGTGAATGGTCGTCGAGGGAACGCGTGTTTGCCTACTATTATCTCACCAAGTGGGTGAAAATCGTCGGGTATTATTTGATTTGAGTTAGGTAATTCTTGGACGTGTCGAGGATTTAGTCGAAGGTAATCGCGTTCCGGTTGTTTGCGCGTCGTACACTTGGGACGAGAGTTTACGTATGTTGGAATAATTTTTAATATATGAACGTGAAAACGGATACGGACAAAGGTTACGTTAATATTCACGAAATGTTACAGATCTGTCGGTGATACGGATCGATACACAACTTATCACGCGGTCGATTCTCTCTGCCATAATCAGACGGCACGTCCTATATCAAACACGTTCTCTTATCCTATCATTTTTCATCCGTCAAAGGTAATATAATCAACACTCCACCAGAGTTTGCCATAACAGAGTGTACAAATTACAAGTTGCCTCGCTCGGTTTATCAAGACCGAGTACCTCATATCGGTATCGCATTCGTTGCTTTATCAAACGCGAATGGTTTATATCAACGTATCGCCCTTGCGTTTTATACATCTCGTCGTATATATCAACTTATGCTGCGACGCCAATCCTCGTAGCAAACGTAGCTATTTATTCAGACATTTCCACGAAAAAGGAAGATCGAAATTTCTAAAAACGAACGAATCACCTTGTTATTTATAGGTGGCACAACGGTGGATAGGTAATTTCCATTCTCCGTCGGACTCATAAGTGGCTCTCGGCCACTGATTTCTCGATGAGGCGCGTGGAAACGTATATAAAATCGGGATATATACCGATAACCTAGCGCGGTTTCCGTCGCGTGTTTTCTCTTCGAGACGACAATTTATTACGTGTCGCTCGAAAGTGAACGCTCCTATGAGCTGTAATGGGCGTAATTTGTATGCATGCCTTCACGCCGGCAAAAAGTCGATATCGGCCGGCCACGCCGTTGAAAACTTGTCTCCGATAACGATTCCTAATAACGCCAGGACGCAGCGCGACACCGGTGAAGCGGGGACTTGGCTCGCGCGCGACTCCGCTCCGCGACGGTGAAAGCGGCTCCGCCTCGAAGAACGTCCGCGCACGCCCGTATAAACTCTGTCATCCTGTTTTCACTTTGAACACCACGAGGGCTCATTAGATCCGACAACGAGGAAACCGAGCGCTCGATCGAATCGGCAACACGATCGATCGATATCCTTGCGATTCGATCGGCTATCAATCAATTAGGCAGACGTCGCGATTTTTCCCCGCGATTTAACGAGAAGTTATTAGTATAATTTAGTCGGATTGGCTTTAACGAGGTTTTAGGTTTCTTTACGAGAATTCTTTGTGAGAATTTTATCAATTATTTGTAACGTAGTAATGATACGTAGTAAAAAAAGTCGTTCCTAAGAAAACTCATTTCCTCGGAAATTATTATTCATATATTCTGATGATTGTGTCTGGATTTGATAAAAGGGGAGCGATTTATGAACGATAAATCAAAACGTTAGACTTTGATTGAAAAATAATAACGAATGACATGCTTCGAGATAAAATATGAATCGTGTATTTATCGTATCACAATTGTTGTGATACTTGCTAAATAATGTGTAACAGTTTCTATACGCACGAGCCGTGTTTGTTTGCGTGTATGTCTCTATATAAAGTTACTTTTAATTTTTCTAGAAGAACAATCGATATCATTGTCGTATAAATGAATGTTGAAGAAACGAACGGTATATTAGCATAACTATTTCTTCTTCTTTTTCATTCAGAATATTCCGAGAATCCTAGATGTTCAAAAGTCAAAAAGAAAATAAAGTAAAGTATCATACTTGCAAATTCTCGCCAAACTAATAATACTCTCGATGTTACTATGTAGTCTATTGGCTTTACACCTACAACTTCAGAGACACGCGTGTGAAATGCATTGAAAGGAATTTCTATCCTATGCGATTGGCGAAATGGGAGAATTCTCTCTATCCACGTTTATAGCGACTTCGTAATAAGCGTCAGGATAACATAGCCACGACATATGCATTAACGTGTCCGTCATCTCGAATCGAACTCTGAGAGGAAAGCAATGTCGATACCGAGAACACCTTCGCGCGTTGAAAGGATAGAAGAAGATCGCGCGAAAGGAGGTGCACCGTGGTCAATAATAAATCAATGAGTAATTAAAGGATAACGGTACGAAGCAAATGAGCCTACGCTGACCACTAGTCTGGACCCGGAACGGGATCCTTTCGTTTCTCTCGCTTCGACGAACATTCCGCTGATGTACGAATGATTTCATCACGAGTTATCCATCATCGCTTCACCTAGCGGTGAGATGTTTGATGATACCGCGCGTTTCGTATGTACTGTTTCGTATGTTGTTGCACCAGTAACAAACAACTAGCTGCATTGGAAACATGACTCGATTTACTCGTGACTGCCACGTTAAGTGCAGCCTGTCAATGTTGTTGATTGAACGAGAAAATTCGCGAGAAATGCCCCGTTATGGAAAAATAAAAATAGAAAAGGAAGAAAACGAAAAACTGATGATTGATAGAATTGATATTGAAAGAATTTATCTGATTTCTAGAATTAAAATAAATTAAAACGTTATTAAAGTTTTAATGAAATATTATTAGTTTTGATATAAAGATAATCGATATCTGCTTTCTCAATGAATTTAAATATTCATTAGAATCTCATAATACTAGACGAATAATAAAAGTTTTAGTCTTTATATAAAAATATTGATAAATATTTGATTTTTTATAACAATCGATTGATATTTTTATCAAAGTTTTAAAATATGAAAAGAAAATTAAAAATTTTAAAGCATCTGTGATATTAAAGTCATTGGTATTTAGTTTCTCGTATCAAAATAAATTGGAATTTGTTATTAAAGTTTCAAAATAATGAAAAAGAAATAAAAAGTTTAAATTGTTTCGTATTAAAATCAATATATAGTTTTCCAAATCAAAAATGTAATTTTAGAATTGTAATTTTTAGAATTTTAAGTGTCTTATCGATTATTCATAGTCAATTCTGCTCGCATTTAATAACAATGATTATTTGATATGGCTCGTGTAATCTTTCTATAACCGTGCATAATGACCGAGACTTAACGCAAAGTATCATCCAACGCACACGCAAGAGAATACGTGTTACGCGGCAATTGCATAACGTCGTTTAAGTGTGCAATATGTCGGTAATTTGCATGTAATAAACCCATCGTATCGTAATACGCGACACAATGCGTGATCAACAGCTTATTCCTAACCGAGGGATTCACTACTGTTAGAGGGCGTATCGCGAACAATAATCATATATCTACGAAATTTACGTTTAAATTTTTCTGCGCAGTTGTACGGTAACATCTGGCGAAATGATAATATCTTGCAAGATTTCGTCGCTTAATAAATTTCCTTATACGTTCAATTACGTGTATTCATGTATCGATGTATTTAGTAGTGTCGGGATAGCTATAAATTAATCGATAATCATCGAGTTATCAATAATACGAATCGCAATTGGTATTGAATGTGTGACGTGCTTAATTGAAAACGTGTAATACGTATTAATATTCGTATTAAGTAAAACTATAAATGAACAATAAGTTCAAATTATATGTCACGCGATGGAAAGAATTATTCTACAAATGTGCCTTCCTATTTTATCGGACGCCATAACCTACAAGCTTACAATCTACGCATCGTATAAGGTATGATATTCTTTACCATTATCGTTAATTTTTTCACGATATTTCTTAAGGTATTTGTTACTTAAGTATAATTTATTCTCTTTTTAATAGGTAATAGGTAATAGATAATATTTTTTTAAAGAATATTTTTTCAAATAATCGTAAATAATTTGATCGTAAATAATATATAGGTTATTAAACTTGTTTTCGAATAAAGATTTTTGCGACGTATTGTAAAACTGCGATGAATCATCACGCGAACGATCATAGTAAAGTAAATATTATTCATACCTGTAATGTTTCGGCCATATAGAAGTTTCGAGAATTCGTGTCTGTTGCTCTGAACGTATCGGCGTATACACAGAAACATCTTTCACACATTGACCTATTAATTTCTACGCTTATATCGTCGATCTCTATAGCAGTATTTCACAACACATCATTCTATTCGCACCTACTTTGCACGTTCGCGTGAATTTCACTACAATTTCACTACAATTTCACATATGCGTCTTTCGTTTCGTTGCAATTTTCTAACGTACTTTTTTAATGGCGGACGCGAATTAATTCTAACGAACAGAGGGCGTGGTGGAACGTGTTCGCAAATTAGCAAACATGGAAGGTTCGCGAAAAAGTACGAAACGCGAGCATCGTGACGTGAGAATCAGTAAAAGAAGTGAAATGAAATTGACGACGGATTGTGCGAACTTGTGAATCTCTTTATTGTGCAACGAGATAAAAACTATAGTTACTTGTGCCATTCTACAGATCTAATTATACGTAGTTCGAAGTGTTTCGTGCAAAGCTAACGACGCAATTTGTGCTGTTTCCTGCCTTCAGAATTACACAGGTTCGTAAAAGCATTTTCTTACTTTTTTTCTTTCTTATCGTGCTTATTATATCTTTTTTCGTAGAATTTATCATGTTATTTATTGACAAAATTGCGATCTTTTGTTATCTATAGTTAGAAAAGTATATTTGAATAAAATATTTTTATCTATTTCATAATGATGAATATCGAGGTTATATTTAATATAATTATATTTATTTAGGTATTCAATTTTCAATTTTTAGTACATTATTTATGAATATTAATTTATAATATCTATATAAATAGTATTATAAATCATTTTAAGAGTAACAAATATTCATTTTAATGAGGCAATAATTTTTTCGAAATATTCAAATCGGAACAAAAATCGAAAGAATGCGTGAAAGAAAACGCGGTTTTCAGGGAAGCACAGATGAAATCACGCTAACCTGAAATTTTGGCAAAAAATCATTCCATCTTCGGACTCGATTTCTTCCACGCATCGGTTCTTGCAAATTAGTCGCGTTCGATTAACAAGACGCGTTCGCGTAACAAGAAACTCTCGCCGTCCAGAGCAAGGGAATGCACTTATCCGAAAGAAAAAGCGAGGCGCAGAATCACGCGAACAATCGGCAAGTTGGACTTTAACCATCGTTGATAAAATTCTTCTATCGTGGTCAGAGATCGTAGGGATCGGTTGATCGATCGATCTACGATCACGATCGAGCGCGATATCTTCGATACTCGATGCAAACGACTGATCGTCGAACGATTTCACCTCGGATGACTATGTGATTCTCTTCGACCGATGAAGACGAGTCCACGGAGCTCGATTTATATCCGATGTCGAAAGAAAGCGAACGATTTCTACGCGAAGAGAGATCAGAGTTAAAAAAAAAAGAAAGAAAATTTATTTTTTCCATGACAATGGTTCCACAGAGAATTTCCGTCAATCATTGTTCCGCATTCCAGAGTATTCGCGTTCGTGGGAGTGGCTTAACATTCGAGCTCACTCTTATTTCGCTCGAGTTCGAGAATAATAGAGGTCTTGCCGCGAACGGTCTCCAGGCTGTGATCTCGAACGGTTCTCCTGCGATTACGCTGACCGTCTTCTAAAGAAAATATCGAACCTCGTGCCAATATATAAAAAATTTCCTTACAAAAATCTAATTTTACGTTAATTGAGAGAATCGTTGAAAACGCGATGCGACTGTAGATTCATATTCAAATTGAAATATCTTCTTATTAATTATCGAACCTTCATGTAGTAAAAATAATGCCTAAAAATATATAGAATTTTCTTTATAAAGTATTATAAAAATTTCATCTTAGCAAATAATTTTTTTTATAATTTTTTTTTTAATTCTTAATTATTAAAACTTAATTTCTTTCTATCCAGTTCTCGTAAACGAAAAATTTAACTCTTATTTTAATGTCTTCGATATAGCTTCGAATTTTCTATATACTACACTTACCAGGAATCAAACAATCGAATCGTCTTAATGAACGTTCAAGTCTCTCCAAATTATCGTACCGAAAATAGCAAAAAGAGTTCGTCGACCTTTCAATTCCACCCAGTAATCGAGTCCTGCCTCATTCCCTAGTCGTCAGCCGGGGTAACGAGTAACGTCTGCCGATTCTCCGAATCGCGATCGGCATGGAAAACTAATTAAGACGCGATTAGCCGAACGTAGGGGGAGTATCATGATCGATTAGTCTACCGATAAGGGATCGTGGTTCGCGGCGCAACCTTAATTAGCGTACTCTTCGGTCCGATTTCTTTCTTTCCTTCCCTTTCGAAGGTCCTTCGATCGAACGCGTGCTCCTCTTCGTGGCAGTTCCTCGCGACGGTGGTCCAGCCGAGTTGCTAGCAGGCAAGCGTAAAAAATAGGCGTATGAATCAAGGATGCTTAAGAATCGTTAGAGTCCCATTGACAAGTCGAAAGAAAGCGAGAGCGGCTTCGCCTACGTGTGCCCGTAAGTCGTGGACAATGCGTAGCTAAATCGTTTAATAGCGATAACAGTTTCTTTGATGCGGATCACTTGCACCGATGATCATCGTCGACATGCAAAAACGTTGGGATAAGAAATGAGAGGCTTGGCGAGGGGAACAAGTTCGAAATCTTTTTCGTGTTCGACGCTTGTGAAGTCCGCCTTAGCTGTGTTTCTTTGCGGGAGAAGTTTATCCTACGCAGTTGTCGCGATCTTGGGCGAATATGGATGAATACGTGATGGTAATTCTGTAGCGTAATCGTGTTAAAGCAATCTTCTTAACATTTATCCGTGATTATTTGAAATATTTCAAGAAGGTTCTTTTTTGAATGTGGGAGGGGAAAGGTGATCGTCTGAAAGGAAAAGAAGATTTTTTTAGATGATAGAATTATTATGTTTTATAGATGTTTTTATTTATTAGAGCAAATGAGAAATTTTATGAAAATTTATTTAAGACCGGGAAGGAAGATGATTTAAATTTCATGATGTTAAGTAAGCAAAACTAGGTTAAACGTTGACTTGTTATCTGTTGTTTATTATAGAAAGTTTACTACTTTTTTAAACTTTGCTTCCTCGTGACGAAAGTTTCGTTATGATACTTTTTATATATAAAGAGATATAACAAAAAACGGATGATATCAAGCTCTGAAAATTTTCAGATTTAATAACTATTTCAGAGGCGAACGTGCTTAAACAGTCGTTCTTCGAAGTTGTATCACATTCAAAGTAGTTTTTCTTTCCCTCAATCAAGTTGTTACAAGATAATCTCTTTGATATAAAAGAGATATTTATGTTAAAAAAAAGAAGGTGTAATCCAAGGTCTAATTTATGTTAAAAATTTATAACACGATTATGAGATAAACGGGGAACATATTTCTTTTAATCACGGTTCATAACAGCGAATATATGGGTCATCGGTACAATGCACGTGTACGTGGCCGATTGCCAGTAGGAAGATTGCCTATGAACGTTGATTGTACGAGGGTAGATTAGACATTCCGCTGCACCCCCATAGAGAAGGCAGGAACACGATATGACACAATACAATGCGGCATTAACGACCTTCGTGAATTATAACGCGCATATTCTCCGTGTTCAAATTTCCGGCGTATCACGGTTTAATTTAACCCTCCAATAACGAGAAATTGTTTTTCAATTTAATAATTTAGAGACTTCCACGTAAAAATATAATTAATCTTCCGTTCGTATTATTCATAATAACATACATACTCGTAACATAATTTTTTTTTTCTTGCGAAATATCTACGCGAAAATTACGCAAGTAACAATCACAGACAAATAAAAATTCTCGATTAAAAGATTAATAATGATTCATTTCGAACAATTCGCCGGTCGATTCTCGAAATTCGTACAAAAAAGATTCGATCCCCTATTCGGTTAGCGATCGTTCGATCGAGAGGGCTGGGTGATACAGGCGGTGGATAATTATAATCGACATTGATTATCCGCTCGGTTATTTATGAGATATTTATGTATAAGGCTGAAAGTCGAAACCAACGCGTGTTTCGACGCTACCTATGCGCGTACAACGGGTCAGGGTGGAAGGCATGGGGACGAGGTAGCTGGAAGAAAGAAAAAGCCGGGGAACGAGGCACGAGCCACGCCTTCCTTAGGATATACGGTATTTAAAGTCGTCGTCCCTCTAGCCTAGAAATGGCCTCCTCGCATCTGTGGGAAATCTTTCTCGCCGGTTAGATTCCCGCCGGCGCCATTTTTAATTAGTTTCGATTGTCGATAATCGGTAATTTAAACTCCTCTCCCCCGGCATTCGCCGTGATTGCATACCGTTACGAATCTCGATCCATCCAGACTCCGATTCCCCGAGTCGTGCTATTCCCCGTGTCTCAGATTTAATTCTGGCGATCGATCGATCGCAACGGATAGCATAATACGGCGATTGGATGCATTTAGATGGATGTATTAGGTTGATGAGGAAACGAATCTTTGTCTACATATATATATCGAAGGCGAAGAGATATTGATTGTTTTCTTTTATTGGTTCGATGGCTCTTTCATGTAGATTTTATTTCTCTTTTAATTAACAGCAGGACAACTTTAAGCGAGTTGAATGCTGAATGAAATCGTTAAAGAATCTTATTAATTTATTTTTATTATTTTTTTTTGTCAAAAGTTATATACAAATGATGATAAATAGTTCTGTAATAATTTCATCAGAACTAAAGTTCGTTTGGAATTTTAGAATATATTAAATTATTAAATTATTAGCTAAATTGTGAAACTGTGGAGCTATTTTATAAATTGAGATAGATATTTAAAGTGTATAATATATATGCACATGATACAGGATGGAAAATAGCTCTTCGCTAATCTTTCATGTATAATAAATCTCTCTTGAGATTCAAATGTTTAACGATAAGAATATCACAATCTATTTTTCGATATAAATATCACTACATTATTTTAATCATTCTATACATCTGTAAAAATTTTCATAACAAAAAATCACGTAATAAAAGTTATCTCTACTTTATATTTTAACCTTTAACATAATTTCAAATTAAATTCAACCAAAAATTCAGTGGCTGCAAGTGGCTGCTGTTGCAAGAATTTTATATCGATTCAATTAAATCGGACAATAATCGCGAGAAACAACGCGAATTTTACCTTGAACGGAAAGGAAATTATTATACTTTCGACATAATAATCCGTATG